AAAGATCCTACTTTCACGGTCTAAAAGATCTTCCTTCTCGAGATATCTAGGGATAATACAGAATTTAGTCGCAATATCAACCTAACCAGTCATCACAGCACAGTCAGTTCTTTAAAATAAGCGCTAATTACCTTTTTACATTAAATAACACTTATAAATGCTAACGAGTATCGAACAGCTCACGTTCATAGCACTATCCTTCCATTATAAGAGCGCTACTCCCTCTTCTTCTCACTTTGTACGATCGAGCATCAGCTGTATAGACCCCCGGTATTCAGCTCCTGAAGTCTCTCTTTCACCAAATTTAGAGACTCGAATAGACTTTTACTCTCTAATAGAACTAAAATTTTTAATTGCGCTCTCTGAAAGGCAGCCCTCCTTGACTTATCCCCTCGACTTATCTCCTAATAATATCCAGTTACGCCGTAACTTTCTCTTCTATAGCTTAAGTACAACTCGCACCCTCTTTTTCTCTGTAATTGAACTTAATCAACAACACTTTCACAGATTATACACGCTTCGATTCGTATTCACTTGCATATTAACTAGATACCCCACTCTATATACTCTTACACTCCTTCCTCCATAGCATGCTCGCCATAAAGTACACGTAACGATAGTCCGCCCCACCTCTGGCTTGGACATCGACACGCACGGACATCATACGAAGCCAATGCGGAAAGAGATTCGTTCTGGTAAGCTCTGGGAACGTAGCCTCCACTCGTCTCCGGTAACCCTCGTCGTGGAACAAGGCAAACTGCATCAAGAGGAACAGCTCCCATGTAAGCGGCTGCACCACCTTCTTTCCTTTGTCTTTCCTGATGTACGTATCCCTGGTACTCTGAAATACAAAGTTGCGTATCGCCTCACTTTCAAACTGCGCCAGGAGATACCCCATGCGATACTCGTACTCTTTCATCAAGGGCAGATTTCCATATCTCTGTCGGCGCGACCCCAGTAGTCTACGCATATCGTGTATGTTTCTGCACTTCCACATTTCAGAACAAGTCTCGACTTTCCCACCATCGCCGAAGAATACCAGTACGTCTGCCTGCTTTGTAGCAAGTCTGTTCCATGTATTGTTATACATAGTCTGAGCAGCAACGGTACCGTGTAAGAATAGATGTCCCCGCTTGATACCCTGCTTCTCCACCAGCGCCACGTAGTTCGAATACCGCTGCATGAATTGACGTCTCAGCATGTCCTTCTGCTCTCCAAACTCAACCATCAAATTCTGGATCCCTATACTCTGACACCGCCTGTACCAGCTGTCAAACTGATCGCCATCGTATATCATTCGCAGAACGCACATGACATCGCTGCCCAGCTTGGCAACGGACACACTGTTATCCCAGCAGATACAGGTAACCTCTGACATGAGACATCCGGTACACCAGTTCCTCTTGGCGAGAAAGATGTTCGAGTTGAAGTATCTGTAGTCTGTTCCATACATGGCGTAGAGAAGGGGCCTGGGGATGTCTAGAAATGCAAATATATCGGATACATTCTGGTACAGTTGTTTGACGCGGATCTTGAGGGGAGAGTCAGTTTGTTGTCTTTTAGATAGAGGGGGAGTGAAGGGAGTCTGGAGTACTCGCGAAGGGGGCAGGCGAGAGAACACTTTTCGCTGGTCGAGATGGGATCGGTAGAGGCGGAAGGACTAGCAGAGGAGAGAGTTTCTTGATAAACAAGAGAAGAAATGTTCTCACGAGCATTATCCGCTGTACCTGTTGTCGGATCTTCACGTCTCATTATTTGACTTGTGTTGTCGTGTGTATCTCTTAGCGGTCTATTTTCAGGCTGTACATCAGCAATGCCAAGACCACCGGTAGTTTCTTCTTCACGAGTGTCCACTCCATCTTCCGGTACACCTGCAGTTTCCTCATCACCAAAATCCGGTACACCTATACCTTCTTCATCAATATCCAGTCGACCTGCGGTCTCCTCACCTCCGATCTCCTCACCTGCGGTCTCCCCACCTCCGATCTCTTCACCAGCTTCCTCCTCTAACCCATAAAACTCGCGTATCGCCTTGGCGTAGTTCCGCACACGCATGGAATCTTTGTGTAACGACCGTTTGTTCCAGAGTGTCACGCACCTCCCCGCCTTTCTCAAACGTCCTGCCATCTGGATGTATGTCGAAACTGGCGGCACGTACCCCACAAGAAGCACCAGTCGCACCTCGGCTATGTCAATGCCCTCGCAAACCAGCTTTGTCCCCACTAGCACCTTGGTATCCTGGTTTTTAAAGTTCTGTATCCTCTTCACCTTTTCCTTAGCTTCGAGATCGCCATGGACCCGGATGCAATCGATATCCAGATTCAGAGCAAACTCCTCCACTCGGGCTTTCTCCCCCAATACAACAATCACCTTTCCGTCTTGCTGTTCGTTTATGTATTGCAATGCAATAGTATCAAGCTGCCCAGGCTTGACTTTCTCAAAAGTCTTTTCCACATGTTGCAATGGCATCTCCGTTATCATGTCCCATATCTCGACGTCTTCAAGATTCAAAAAGTCCAATGGTCTCTTTAGCCCTTCTTTTCCGGCTGTGGCTGTTAGTAGCACCACCTTCCAGAACTTTGCCAAAGGAACAGCTGGAATGCCTTTGAAACCGGATGCTCTAAAATCTCTTTCATCGTACAGATTATGACACTCGTCAATCACTAGCATTCCTAAGGATGCACCCTCTATCAGAAGCTGCCATCGCTCAATCAAAAGCCTGAAATCAGATCTTCCCATGTTATCGAATATTCCCACGTAAACGTCACAAAAGTCGTGACGTCCAACAGGGTCATCACTCAGCAGATCGCGCACAAAGCCTACGCGCAGTCCGTCTCTCTGCAGTCTTTGACTCATGTCTCCGAGAAGCGTATTGTAAGGAACAAAGACAAACGAGACGACATTTTCCTTGCGCAATGCCAACATGGGCAACTCAAACAGCAACGTCTTACCAAACCCCGTAGGAGCCTGAATGGGAATCACTGGTGTCGTTGATAGATATATCTCACTGACAAGTAGCAGCTGGTCCGGACTGAGCTTGAAGCCCCTCCCGTATATGCTTTGTCCAGCTTGGAAAATGTCCTTTAGACTGACACTGGGTCGGAAAGGAGGCGCTGCGCTTTCGATTTGGCCACTGGGCATGGTCTCTACTCGTATAGTGACGTCAAAGTGAATCCAAGCATGCCACATTCTGGCAACTCCCAACTGCAGCTCTCCAGCAGTTGAAGGCTCCACACTCTCTATGGAAGAAGGATCAACCGCGTAGACCTCTCTGCCTGTTCTGACTGAGTGCGCAGACAATAGCTCCTTCATTGCATTCCATAGGGTCTGACCCAAGTCGCCATCTGCTTTGTTGTACCTTCTGATAACCGCTATCATGGCGTGCCTTAGCTCTCGGAAGTTTAGTCGCTGGACCTGCTGCACGGACTTTGGATACTTCTTCAGCATAGAAAAGAAGGTAGCATCCTTGATGAGTCTTCCTTTGGCCACATCAACAAAGAGATACGAGCGAATGATACTAGCTGAGATCTTATCGTTTGTAAGATCCTCATCTCCCTCGAAGTGAAGCGGTACCTCCTCGTCACTGTATATCGCCTCTCCAAAGATATCAGGACCAATCTTGTCGTATTCCTTGCCCACGATATCAATCTGTATAGGTCGTAATACCATGATAAAGTAGAACAAATAGTTGGAGGTCCGCTTGTCCAGCATTTTAATAATCTTTCTGTAGCCACGCACCTTGGAGTACGTTGTCAGCAGCTGGATGCACCGCGACTTATCGTCCAAAAACACGTTGCGATCGTCGCCTGCATATTTCAAAGTCAGAAGCTCTGGAAATCGATACGGACTGCCACAAGAAAAATAGACCATCCACATTAGCAGAGTAGCAACTTCGTCGATCATTTCCACAACGTGCTCTCCGCGGACCAATGGTTTGGCCAGCAGTCCTTTGGCTTCTTCATGACCAAATAGACTGACAAAAGAGTGCTTGGGCTGCAGTTTATTCTCATTGAAGTACGCGTGTGGACTATCCAGCACATTTATAGCTGCTGCCTGCACATCAGGTAGCATGTAGAAAGCGCTCAAATCTTTCAACAGCATGTGAATCCTTTCAAGTACATTATTGTAGAACTCCCTAATGTATCCGCGTGAGAAGTACTTGCCACGAAATACTAGGCCGTCTAGGAGGCTTGAACTCAAGGTCATACGACATGTCCATCACTCCCTCTGCAACGATCTCATGATACACGTGCTTCAGCCAGTACCACTCCGACGCGTTGTCATCCGTGAACACGGTTTCCCTTTCTTCGCCGTCAGTATACAGTATTGCGTACTGCACAAACTGCTTGAACGCGTCCAGGCCCTTTCTGATTTCCTCCACTCTGGCAATCTGAGGCTGAACCCCTTCATAGTTGAACCCAACTAGCCGGACAAGAAGATGGAATAATGGTCTCTGCTCAGTAATCATTTTATAGAATATTAATAATCCTACAAATGAAGAACGATATAGTCGGTCAAACTTGCTTTTTTCCCTAGTTATGCAGGGTTTGGAGTGGCCAATGTTTCAGAAAAGGGTTCTTACCAAATGATCTTGCAAAAGCCGTCCAATTGAGCGCGGACGCATGCTGCTAAGGGCTACTCGGTAAATGTGTTGAAACAGTTTTATACATTCCTCACCAATCAGGGCTTTGTCTACCAGCTACTTTCAGAAGAGGTCTCCATCTTGATCCGTAAACTCGAGCTCGTGTACACGCTGACTGGATATAATAGTAAGCCGTCGCGATCAATTTCAATAGTCTCAATGAGATGAGCCGAATGACAAACGAACGTTCAAAATCATAAAATCGAGATTAATTTCAGAGTGGAAACGAAGCGGTGTAAATTGTTGCTACGTTTTCTGTCTAGGTCGTGCTCTCCAATCAAGGCAGGGAGAGAGCTGTTTCATATCATGTGATTTGTCACATACTTATTATTGCAT